TTTCAAATCATCAAATCATGGCCTATATATTTAACTATAAATAAGTTACCATTCGAGAAAAGAAAATAAAGATATAACATATTGATTTTAGGACTTTGGTTCGGTGAAAACAAACCCAATTTTAGTCAATTTATATATACAGTGAGCGACAAAAGTATTCGTACAGGCGGGACATTTGATCAAAATGAGCAATATTTTTTTGGATTCATTGATTTATTCAGACTTGTGTTATTTTATTTTACGTCCAGATAGTAACGCAAAAAAACATGAATTAAATCCACTTTACATCTTGCGTTTTGTGGGTATTTTATGAAAAGTAGCCATTAGCGCGCGGACAAAAGTATTCGAACACTGTAAGTACATGATGCAACATTGTATTGTCAGTTTAACCATTTGTTTTGTCGCTCTAATTTTAAGTATGGGGAGGAAAGGTAACGAAACGAATTTAAGTGAAAGAAAATTAATGTTAAATTTATGTAAGCAAAACAAGTCTTGTGCAGATATTGCAAAGATTGTGCAGAGAAATAGATCAACAGTGTAAAGTATAATAAAAAAATATTTAGAGACAGGAATTTTAAAAAAATTTACACAGGTGTGGTCGACCACGGAAATTATCACCACGCGAAGAACGTAAAATTGTGCGAAAAGTAGAACAAAACCCCACAATAACTGCATCGGAACTTGCGTCGGAGATCAAAGAGTATGATAAAAAAAAAGTACATCCTAAAACCATTTGTAGAATTATTCAACGAGCCGGGTACAGCATTAGAATAGCCAGGAAAAAACCCCACGTCAGTGAGGTGAATAAAAAAAAAGACTAGCCTTTGCCCAGGAGTTCGTAAACTATGATACAGAATTCTGGAATAATGTGATATTTTCGGATGAGTCAAAATTTAATATTTTCCACTCGGATAGTCGTTTAAAAGTGTGAAAAAAACCCAACACCGAATTGGATCCAAAGCATATGAAGTCAACTATCAAACATGGCGGTGGGAATGTCATGGTATGGGGGTGTATCGCAGCATCAGGCGTTGGAGAATTAGTTATTATTGATAAAATTATGGATAAACAATTGTACCTCTCAATCTTGAAAGAAAATTTGAAAAAATCTGCCGATAAACTGGGAATGAAACCGGGTTATTATTTTCAACATGATCAAGACCCTAAACATATCGCTTATATAGTGCGTCAGTGGTTCGCATATAACGTTCCTTATATTTTGCCGAGTCCTCCACAATCACCAGACTTGAATCCCATAGAGCACGTGTGGGCTGAACTTCAAAAACGTGTACGATAGCATCACATTACATCGAGAAGTCATCTGATAGAGGTTTTGAAAGAAGAATGGCACAAGATCTCACCTGAATTTATTAAAAATTTAGTTAACTCTATACCTCGAAGATTGCATGATGTTATCAAGCGAAAAGGCGTTCCCAGCAAATACTAATGATGAGTTTTTATGAAATTTGCTGAAGTACGAATACTTTTGTCCTAGTGTTAATAACTTTCTTCAATACGGACTATTTGTAATTGAAAGTGTAATGAGACTTTTTGTACATGGTTGATTATGTCAGAGTATAAGTAAGAAATAACACTGTACACATTTGAATAAATCAGTTACCTTGAGATTTTTTTTCTTATTTTGTTTAAATTTATTCCCTTTACGAATATTTTTGTCGCTCACTGTAGTTGTCGAAAAGTTTTTGAAAAAATTTTTCCAAACAAGAAACAAGAATACTATGATCACTATTTGCGACTGTTCATAGCTGTTTCAATCCTGAGTTTAGATAAAATCTCTTATGCCATAATCGATGTCGCTGAAGATTTATTAAACAGATTTGTACGTGAATTTCAAGATTTATATAATGTCAAATACTGTTCAATAAATATCGATTTATATTACATTCGGCTAATTCTGTACGGAAACATGGACCTCTTCGGGCCTACACTTGCTACGCATATGAAAACATAAATGACGAAATACTGAAATTGATTCATGAAACTCGATACATTGATTCACAAGTTGCTGATGGTCACAACCACCTTTTAACAATGATAAAAGATATCGAAAGTATTAATAATGATGATGTTCGTGATTTTTGTTTAAATAAAAAAAAAACAGGTAAGAGTGCTAGAAGAGATTTTTAATGGTGGAAATAGTGTAGGTCAATATAAATTATTAGACGATATACCCGACTTAATTTTAAATGCATTAAACGACAGCGTAGTTGAAGTTAATAATGTACGTATATGGGAATTTCTAAGACTCTCAAAAAATAATCGTTTATATGTTGCTAAAAAATACTCTTCGTCTGTACAAAAAATTAGTTACGCTATAAAATTCGTAGAATATGATGAAATAAGAATCGGTTTAATTCATTCATTTATAGAATATTTTTATTGCAAGTATAATAGTAATGAATGTTATTGTAATTCTTAATATTATGCAATCATATACGATTTAATAAGCGATGGAGTGTGTGTGGCAGAAGGTAAAATGTTTCACTATGATAACAAAGAGTTCATTCATTTTTGTCATCAATCTAATAATGTACGAGCAATACTTGTAAAAAATATTGTAAAGCAGGGTATATACATGGAAATCAATGATCGAATATACTTTGCATTACCTGTCAATACCAAAGAAGTAGAATAGTAAGAATTTTAATTATTATCAGAATATTATTTGTAAATTCTGGAAAGTATAACTTACTTTCATATATTGTATGTATTATTGTATTTTTTCTGTATGTAAATAATATTGTTCAAAGTAGCTAAAGTAATACGGTAAACAGTGTATTGAAATAATAATTATAATAGCAATAAAACTAATTAAACATTATATGTATAATTTAAAACTATAACTTCCTTGGTAGATTAAATAACCTGAGTTTTTTCTGTCAGGAAGTTCAGCGGCAAAAATGAATTTAATCAGGAGGTTCAGCAGCTAAAATAAATTTCTTCAAAGGGTTCAATGGAAAAATATAGATTTTTAGGGGGTTCAGCGACAAAATAAGAGTAAAATTCTAACTCGGAAAGGTGCTGAATCGGGAATAATGGAGGGGGTTTGGCGGCAAAATATAAAAATATTTTATATTATTTTTTTTATGCGAAATATTACATTTCACACCTAGGGAGGGAAAGTAGTCTAGCTCAAACCACGTGTAAAATTACAACCCGAGCCGAAGGCGAGGGTAGTAAACACGTGGTTTAAGCTAGTCTAATTGTCTTCTCTAGGGCTGAATATGATTTTTCGTCATACCTGCGTGGAAAGTTCAACCCCTCTCCAATGGAAAAGTGAACTTTACGTGCGGGTATGACGAAAAAATAATTTTTTCCCGCTGATGCTCCTGACTTTCAGGAGGTTCGGAAGACCTCCAGGTCCTCCAGGAGGATAATATTTCGGAAGTTCTCGCGGAATATGAAGAAAATTCACTTTCGGATTAATTAGTTCAGTTCTAGTGATATGTGTTGACTGTAAAATCCTTGTAATTGAATTTTAAAAACTTCCATGTTTTGGAAAACCAATAACGACGAGACTAAGAATTGAAGAAGATGCTTCGTATACAGAGAAAAATTTCATAGAAAAATTCTCATGCTCGTCGCTTTAAAGCAAGTGCAACTGACGAATAATCAAATTCTCTAAAAGAAATTCGGAAAAGCTTCATTGATGAATACTAATTTTTAATAGACATATTATAATTTTTAATAGAAGCGTTCGAATTTATATGAGAAATCATAGAGAAAATTGTAAAAGAGCATAAGAAAAATTGTAATAAAAAAAAATGAACAATTATTTAAAATGATAACTGTTTTTCATCCTGTCTTTAGATTAATATTAGAACATACAAATTATTTTGATTATAAAATTATAATACTTTGAATTAACAACAAGTAAATCCACAGAATGTACAATTTGAGATGAGGAACCCAATAGTCAATTTATTACTTATTGGTAAAAAGTTTCAAAATAACATTAATTGTTTTATTGCTTCTTCCATAATTTTTATAGCATACTTCATTGAATTAAAATTAACATGATCATAAATTATTAATAATATTACGAATTTGACGTTAAGTAAATAATTAGTAGGTTGAGAGAAATTTTTTTCAATTTAAAGAATATTACAAAATAATCAAACACAAGAAATATTTCAATAATGAGAGAATAATTACTAAAACAATTTAATGTGGAGAAATAATTGTTGATTACTTCTCAAAATTAATAAAAACAGACGGACGTCACACACTAAAAAAAAAATTTCGCCAAATGAAAGAATTACTTATTTAATTTATAAGAAGAACTTGATATATTCTCAAGATAATATTTTCTTCGATCTAATAGTAATGTTATCGAAAACATATTTTGTCATTTGTTTCAATGTTACGACAAGTTTGAAGACGGAAGAAATTTTATTCATTTGAGTGAAAAAAAACGATTACAATTATATATTCATAATTTTGAAGGAATATTTTCGTGCAACTATTTGAAATTTCGAGATTAATGATCAAAAGAAATATTTCTGGTATGAAGTAAATTTTTTTCTCAGTGTAGGAGGATGGAAGGTAAAGTAGAACGCGGGGGCAAAGCGAAACATTCGAGACAATGTACTTATTTATTAAAATGAATCTAAAAACGCCTATTGCGCGTTTTATTTACACATTTTTTTCATTTATAACAATAAAATCGAGTATTGTATCGAATAGTTCACTTCAAACTGTCACGATTTTTAAATTCGAAATTTTCATCAGTATTACGTTACTTACTGAAACTAATGTGTTCAATACTTATTAAGTAACGCAAATATAAACCACGCCTCCGGCTTCAGTCCTGCTACACATAATCGATATACATTCCACAATCAAAGCTTTTCACATCTTCATAAATGTGGGCCGTACTTAGCAGAACTCCACCCATCTTACTGAGGCTCCGCCTCAAGAAAATGTATTACCTCATAGCAAACTCCAGTATCAAAAATTTCGATTAGTAAAATCTGAACGTTCAGTATTGATACTTCGTCCAGCAGCATTATATTGTTATCAGCGAACTACTTTTGTACGAAAAATTGTTTATGGTTAAAGCAATGGTGAGTTCATATATTTTTTAACAAAATCGTCATAAAATAAGCGAATATTTCATTGAAATCAAAAACCTACATTTTGTCAGTGTTACATTTACAACAATTTTCATAAGTCGTGAATGGATTATTGAAGAGAATATGTTGTATATTTATTTTTAAATATTTTGTATGTTTTATCATTAGGTTAACTCCGTGTCGGAATGAATTAACTAATTGTCATCTCAACAGATAATAGTATCTATTATTTTATTTAACTTCTAATAATATTACGTTACGTATCGAATTCCGTCAAATTTTTTTTTGTATTGAATATTTATCACTGATTAAATATGAAAATTTTATAAAGAATAGCATTGTAGAAACAATTTTATACATTTTTCAAACTTCGATGATGAGTTTTAAGTATAAATAGTATATCATATCTACGCTTCCGTTACTGAATGACACAAAATCACTCGAATTGTGAATACAGATACTCAGTATACTTGTCGTTTATCTCAAATACTCTTATCGTGTCGCTATGCCTTCAGAAACAAGTAGAGAATGAAATTTTATAAATGTTCCTTAAAGTGTAAATTTTTTTCTTACTAATTTCTATAAACTATTATCGAAAAATATTAAGTAAATTTTCATTTTAAAAAATTTTTTCTTCATCTTACACCATTTTCGTCATAACTGCAGAAAACAGATTCAATTGTTATGAACAAAGAAGCATGTTTTCATTTATGTCATACAGTTGGTAACTTTTTTTCTGTAAAATAAAAAATTACACGTTAATAGAACACAAATATGTTGCATAGATCTTGTTTTCCATTCTTTATAACGAATGGAATTGTCATGAACGAAATAAGTGTGTTTTTATTTAATAGGATTCGATACAATTTAATGGGAATACTGTTGTCTTAGAATTTCCTATAGAATGATGCAGAATTCCATTCGATTCTTCGATAGAATTTTAGTGAATTTAATAGGACTTGTGAGATTACAACTTTCCCATTGAGAAGAGGCAATTCCCTTTCGATGCTTTAATAGAATTTGATATAATTCAATGGGAATATTGTTGTCTCAGAATTTCCTATAAAATTATGGGTAAACCTATTGAACGTTTCAATAGAATCTTATTACCACAAAAAAAAATTCTTTTAAACGAGAGGAAATTTTAATTCGCTCCAGAGGTTCTTCGTTTATACGAATTTATTGTTTTAATATACACCTGGAATGAAATTTATTAGAAACTTTGTTCCAAAAAATCCTGCAATGGTGAGATTCGATCCTGGCATCATCGGATCCACAGTCCAGTACGCTGCCAACTGCACTACTCTAAAACATGGAAACATGACTTTCACCTAATCTATTTGGGTTAAAAATTTAAAATAATTTGAACGTTAATTAAGTTTGCATACTAGTAAGTATTTTAACGTAGAAAAAGAATAATTGTCATTCGTGAAGATATGACAGGTAGAATGCAACTCAGAAATAATATATTTATCCCAATGTCCCATGATAGGATTTTATATTATTTAAAAGGAGAACGTTAAAACAATGTTACAACAAAGAACACACGACTTAGAAATTATTTGAAAAATTGATTAAACCTCCATAGAATTTTGCATTATTTAATAGTTTTGACTTCTCTAACATCCAATAGGATGTGAATAGATTTCAATAGGGAAGAGCGACTTAGAAATTTTTTTTTTTATTATCAATCGAACTTTAATAGGATTCTGCATTCTTTAATACGTTTGACTTCTCCAACATCCTATTGAGGTTTGATGTATGATGAAAAAAATTTATTAAGTCGTATTTCCCTATTGAAATTCATTCATCTCCTATTGGATGTTAGAGATGTCAAACCTTTTGAATAATGAAGAATCCTATTGAGGTTCGATACATAATAAAAAAAAAATTCTCAGTCGCATTATCCTATTCAATTACTCAGTTTCCTATTCAAATATCTTTTATTTGTCCCTATAGAAACTCTCCGTTTCGTATAGAACCGCTAACTACCTTTTAGAATCATCATAATCTTATTCAGTTGTGTGAATAGGAAAGTTGTGACTGACTAAATGCAAGCTGAAATAGATAAAAGGACATGTGACCAGGTTAACTTTATGAGCGTGACCAAGTCAGCGACACCCTCATCTGATAAGGTTCCCTAACACCGTATGAGTTCTCACGCGAGCGTCCTTAGTAAAGCGAAAGGTCCTGTTAACGCTGTTAATTGAATGAATGGTGTATTTCTTCCAATCTCAATATCTGTTGAATTTTTCATTGTTCCTTAGGAGAAGGCTGAATCTAGGTTTAAATCGAGCACGGACATTGAACAAGCTGTTTTAGGTACAGTTAACTCTGTAGATTATGAAATAAAAGTCTTCAAAGTCATCAAGGCTCGTTCAACAGTGGTCCGTATTTCTGCGGAAAAAGTTGAAGTCACTAAGTTAAAAGAGAGTGAGGCACTAGCTAAGGCCGGTCTCAAAGTTATTACTTCCTCCAAACTTCTACTACGGCTCATAATTATTGGTGCTTCGTCTAGTGTGGAAAGACGTGACCTACCTGCAAATATAGTGGCTGCTAATAACCTGTCATGTTTACCTGATCAAATCAAAGTTGTACACGTGTTTTCTCCTAAGAGACTTCAGCATCTATCGAATATTATTATCGAAGTTTTTCCAAGGATTCGCCGTCATATACTATCCGCTGGTTAATATAGGTTGGAATGCCTGTCGAGTAGAGGATCACATACTCATAAAGCAGTGCTACAAATGTTTTAAGATTGGTCATTTATCTAAAGATTGTCCCAGTTTAGTGGAGGTGTGCAGAAAATGAGCCGAGCCACACAACACTTGTAAGAACAATAAGACCGAGTCTACTTACAAGTGCGCTAACTGCCGTTCGTTAGGACACTCTGACATAAATCACACTGCTACTTACCCTAAATCCTTTCCTTTTCTCATTAATAGAATTAAGAAAAAGATTCTTTTTATTGATTATTATAGAATTAACTCCATTTTTTCTGTTCAACGCACTTGTGCATTATCTACCATCTTACAATGAGTCGTTTACATTTTATTGAGTTGAGAAGGGATGACAGCCCTCACTCTATCTCTGCTTCTTTAAACTGTCATTCTCCTGGGCATGCAGATAACTTGTCTACACTCTCTGGTAATATAAGTTCGACCTCTGTCCAACCCTATCTGCATCTCCAACCGTCTACAACTATCTCGAATGTACCTACTTCATTGCGTCACACATCTTCAATATCAGTAGCACGTTCAAGATGGAGTGATGATGATATCAGGAAGCTAGTTTTGGCTGAGTTATCTGCTCCTTCTTATGTTCTACGTTTAATCAATGACTATCTTTTTTCTAATGTTCAGCTATCTTCACCTGGAAGTATTGAAGTAATCAAACATGTGCGTAGACGTGATACATACAAGAAGTCGCTGGAAACCCTACGACCTACTCATTCATCTGTAGTTGATTCAGATCCTATTATTTCTTCATCATCGTCTGGCGAACATTATGCCTCTGAATCTTCTAGTAGCACTACTACGTGTTCTGAGTGTTTACGGTGCTTCGACTCTGTAAGAAGCTTGGTACGACACTGTAGGTATGCACACCCTTCCATGTCTCTAGCTTCTTCTCAGACTGTTACCCGACTGCTGCCTTTTCAGTGCTCTCACTGCTCAAGATCGTTTGCTCCGCCTACATTTGGTCCCTTATGTATCTGTGATAGTTGCACTGACTCGTATATATTATTCAGTTATTGAAAGACTGTATCATCAAATATTTGGAAATAAATACTTTTCTAATGCTAGATGTCGTCTTTTAGCTGACTATTTCCTCAGTCAAGTAATAGAATGGTGAGGGGATATAAGACGGACGATTCTCACAATAACACATCGTATTACAAATTTTTTGAACTTTCAGAGTATTTCTTCTGGAATGATAAAATCTATATCGAATGCATTGAAAAAATATGCTTCCCAATCTGAAGATTTGTATAGCATCGAAAGTATGACTAGTAACTTACACCAACTCCTACATTTACCAGATATAGTAATGAAGTTTGGTCCATTACAAATGACTTCATGTTTTTCGTATGAAAATTTATATAGAATTTTTAAACGTCTTATAAATGGTAATAGATATGCTCAATTACCGATCATCAAAATTACTTCTATATTTATGAATATCGTGGAACTGAAAAATCGAATTAATAATCTTAATATTGACATAGATTGATTTTGTTCTATTTTAAAAAATTTGTTTTTATTGACGAAAATTGCTTCATATAGATAAAAATGTGAGAAAAATTTCCACTTACAAAGCTATCGAGAAAAAATAAAAACTGATTCTTTAAATTCAGTGTTGTTGTTGCTCCGAAAATTCATCTTTTTAATAGACTGTTTATGTTTGAAGTAATTTATGATTCTGAAAGTTACAAACGTCAGAGAAAAACTGTCTCTTACTTGGTTTGTAATCGATGCCCAAATAACCGTAGAAGAATAAGAATAATCTAATCATTTGTCAAATTTTCTTATTGTCAATATAATGATCATTGTGATAATTGTCATTTAACCTCTAATTATTTTGTACTGATTCAAAAATGCATTATGAAACGTTAATTAATCCGAAATAAATATTAAAATACAATTAATTATTGTAAAATAACAAAAAAAGTAATCCCTACAAATATAGTTAATTTATAAATATTATTCCCCATAAGTTATGTATGGAAATTAATATGGTGTACATGTAAACAGTGTTATAAATGTTAATTTGTAAATCTTCTCTTTAACACTAGTAAAAAACTTCAAGTTAACACTAATTTGTTAATAAATTATATTTATAAAAGTTAACAAAGTAAAAAAATTGTTAATTTTTATGAAGCGCCAAATGAGTCTTTCTGAAGCTTTTTTAGAATATTTGTGGAGTTCCTTTGGAATTCTTTTTGACTTATGCTGTATCTTATCTAATAAACTTTTTTGGAACGAAATCCTTCTGGGAGTCCATGGAGACATTTACTCACATGAGTCTGAGTAGCGTTATTACATTTTCGTCCTTCATCAACTGAGTAAAGCGGTGAACGTGTTAAGATTAGTTCAACAAGTTTATATTGCAATTGTGGAAGATAATGGAAAATTCACTTAATTTATAAGACTTACAAAATTGATTAAAGTTTTTAATGATGAGTTTTTTTTTATTTATAGAGAATTAAACAGAAAATGATATCACTGACATCGACATGCTTGGGTAATTATTATAAAATATTGACGGGCCTCTTTGAATTATTCCAAAAAATAGTACTTGATTAAAACTTCGTTAAAATTGTACTAACTACGCATGTCCTTTCTTTATTTATATCTCTTTATTGACCAATCGCTATTATCGTATTCACTTCGGTTTCCTTCTTATGTTTATTATTTCAACTTTTTTTTTTCATAAATTACTACAAGAATAATCTCTTCGGACTAAAGGTTTAGAATTTGTGGACGTAAAAAAAAATTCTATTAAATATAAACACGAATCTAATTGCTCTTAAAATTTATTCAAAACTTTCAAATTTATTATCAAAGATAGAGATTTTTTTAATGCAGGCTTAATCTAAGGATAATTTCGCTGGGCAAGTTTCAGAAACGCTACCTAAAGACTCTGTTATTGTTGCAGATCTATTACTTAATGTTCTTTTTGGCCGAGAACCAGTGAAGCAAACTGTCGGAGGAAATGACAAGATACCACGTAAATGAAATACCATTGAAGCTTTCACTTTTTCACCTTCATCTTCGTTTACAATACTGCATAAAAACGATAAAGTTATTTCAGAACCTTCTTTGAAAGAAGTGAAATTAATCGATCAAACGTAACGTCTCGTTCAAAGATAACACTTTTTACCACCAAGAAATAAAATTGGCTTTTATTTATTGAATCATATCCAAGGATCATCCAGAGAGAAAAAATAGCTTCAAGAACAACAATAATTGATCTATCAAATGAGCGAAACCGGCTCGTTTGATCGATCAATTATACTACATATCTCGTTCTTGATGATACAACATGTGAATGTGGAGAAAATAAAAGAAAAACAAAAACATCACTTTTTATACTAATAATCCAAATTTTTATATTTTTTTCTTTTCCTATACCATAGCACTGGCAAAGTGTTCTTGTGATTCTACAATTGGTCTGCTATACAATTTCGAATAGGCTCGAGACTTTTCAGACCATCCTACTGTTCTTCAGATTACATTAATGCTCATTTCCTTCTTATGTGTTGCCGGAACTACAGCATGACGTGTGTTATCAGCTGAAAATTGATTTGTATCAATCCCTGTTTTTTGAAGAGTAGATCTAACCCAATGACCCAGCGTCTGTGCTACACCAACGTTATGAACCCAAACCTAAAATTGTTGTAATGGAGCAATCTGAAATAGGTGCATCGAACGTTTATCTGCCTCCGTGTTGACGGGACATTCCCTAAAGAGCAGAAACATCAGTATAACACAGAGGCCCTGCGAAGAGGGAAAGGCGTAAAACTTTTTCCCATTCTACCAGATGGTAAAAGCATCAACGAATGTGCCGTATAGATCTGAAAGTCGTGAATAGCATTACTTACATTTCTTGTTTAATCTATTTTTAAACAAATCTATAAGAAAAGGACCGAATCTCCCTTGGACTTTTTTAAAATCCTCGTTTTACAACTGCCACTCTGTATCATATTTCTTGAAGCTCTATCAGCTTCTAAGTTTTCTGAACACAGAATGTATGATGCGAAAATTTAAATTTTTTACTCTTTACACCATTGCGAAAGCTTTTGGGAAAATATTGTAAAAATGTAGAAACTGAAAGAGAGTTCAAATAGTAGACATGTAAACTGATTATAACTGTCCGCAAATTTGAATTTCAGAAATTTTTTCTATTCTTCATAAATGGTAACTGAGTAATATGCGAATTCAAGATCAACTAATCCCATAAAATTACTTTGCAACACTAAATTCCTTGCTGATCATATGTCGTCCATTTTTTAATGTATTGTGTCAAGAAAAAAAAATTTGACTTCTACAAAATTATAACAAATACGTATGATGAGATAATGTCGTCTTTTTCCCTTTAGCACTTTTCTATATTCTCCTTAGCTAATGATATATTTATCACAAATCAATATATATTTTAAGATTATCGCATCTACGATTGACCTCAGCTCGAAAACCGATTTAATCATTCTTAAGTGAAAAAAAAAATCCTTGCTTGAGGAACTCGATTTTATGACATGAATTCTGTTCGTAATTGTTTATAGTTAACTCGATCATTGAAACCAAAAAAAAACTTGTTACCATTTATGTAATATGGTTAGCAACTCTTTTCTTGTAGAAGGCAAAATTTTTCATTGAATATACTGCATGCGAATGACTTCCTGAACTTAGTGTGAGACTGTTTTTTCAAAATCACAGACAGACACTCCAATTTTATTCATACAGATGAATATATGTATCATTTTTTCAGTGTTTCGAAAGAAATCGACTCAATTTTTGAAAAAGTGGAATGAAATTAAGTTATTTGCGAAAAAACAACTTCTTACGTAATTTATTGCTTTCTTCATACTACCGGCTGCATAAATGTAATTTGAATGAAATTATAAACAAAAATCTATCACGAGCTTTTTTCACTGTGTCTCTAATTGGCGTCTTAAATCTCCTTTCTACAACTATAATAATTAAACCCCTATAACTAACCTGTAGCATACAAAAAAATCTTATACACCTAGAAGCTTGAGCGAGCTACCATCGCCCTAAACTGATAGCGTCATTAAAGACGTGAATAATGTACTATAATAATCTATTATTATTTATGTAAATCGACATATAAAATAACGTACCTTAATGTTGATTTTACGTTTATTAATCTTAAATAACTTATCTGTTGACTCCAAAACATTATTCGTTTTGTGGAGATTTTATTCTTTATATAATCGACATTTATTTGTATTTAGCCTATGTTAACATATGTTACGAGTCACGATGCAAATGAAGTCGAAGACAGATCACCAGCTACATCGATGTTATCAGGAGATGGTGAAAGTGCTGATGATATAGACTCACCTGAGATATTAAAAGAATTTGAAGAGGAGGCAATATTCTCTGATGATTTCTATTCACATGACACAGATGACGAAGAAGATCAGAAAAAAAAGAGAAGTTCTAGTGTTGTATGTTTTCATAGTTAAATGCACTAATGGTATTAAAGATATTCACAAAATTCACGTGCGATATTTTTTACAGCTTGATGGACCTCAATGTGGTTCGGACCAAGTACTAAATTCTTTTTCAAGTCAATCAAGCACAGTGGGTGTTAAGAAATTATTTACTAATAGTCGAGAGCGGTGGCGGCAGCAAAATGTCAGTGGAGCATTTGCAGAATTGCGTAAGCTTGTCCCAACTTATCCACCAGAAAAAAAATTATCAAAAAACGAAATACTCAGAATGGCGATCAGGTAATAATACAGATTTTTATTTTTTATTTTTTTCAGAAAAAAAATATCAATTATTTACTACATCTAATTTCAAAATGTTTTTTTTATAGATACATAAAGCTTTTAACCAATGTTTTAGAATGGCAAAAAACACAAGGACACAGCACAACATTACAAAAACATGTCGAAATGAAACATGAACCCTATATAAATCATTTTCCAATCAAATGTCGATTATCAAAAAGTAAAAAAAGCAAAGATCAACTACTTCATGAAAACCAATCAAATTTAAATGAACAATTTTCGAATACTTCAGTTTCACTTGAAGATAAGGAAGAAAATAATTTCTTCATCATTGCTCCGTTAGACGGATCTAATGTTACGGTAAAACTTCAAAATAAAAGAATTTATGGCAATAGTAATCGTAGCATAGCCATAGATTTTGGTTCTTTCCGCCAATGTAACGTTCAACCCGGAATATCTACTATTAGTTTCCATCAGACTTCACGAGTCATGAATTCATCATCAAAACTCATCACTATCAATTCGTCGACGCAAAAAACAAATCTATCAGTAAATAATAATGTAAAGTCTTCTCGTATTATTGACAGTACTAATAAGTTGGAAGGGATAAAAAAAGATGTTGATAGTGGAATAAATAATCCAAAGCAGCAATTAAAAAAAAAAAAATATTAAGGACACATACAGGGATAGAGACTCTAATAAAAACTTAGACATTCAAACCATCTAGCAGTGTAATTAAATCAACTTATGATCATTAAGTTTTTATTGTCAATTAAAAAAATGTAGGCTTTATATTAAAAAAGTGCATGATAAGGCAAAATTACTACAGAATAAGTGTTAATGATCAATTTATAGATCATACAATATAGAAGAACTTTGCTTCAATTTTTTCGCTTTCTTTTTAATTTGAATATGAAAAATAGTTTTGTTACTGTAACAGTTTTTCTTCTAGCTTTAACTTTCCATGCTTTTCGCTAATTACCCAATGATGTGAAGATAGCTCTAGAAAGAAACGAGCTTTACTCTGTTTATCTGTGTGTTATAACTTTATTTTTAGTCAGGTAAAAAAAGACATAACAATATTCATTTACGCCGTTTATTTGTGAGAAAGAGGTACGAATTACGATAAAATGCACAATAAAAACTATTCTCAATTTTTTAATTAGAGATAAATCGATTCGATTGTTACAGCAAATGAAAATTGAGATTAAATGAACAGTAAATCTTATCTCAACCTTATAATAATAATGATGTATCCGGTAACAACTATAATTGAATTAATTACAAAACAATGTTGATGAAAGCAAATAAATAGATCCACATTCATTCACTTCCTAGTATGTTATGTCACTGGTGAGGATTTTGAGGAGTTCAAATAAAGTTCACTCTTTATTTACTTAAACTAACGTTTATCGAAAACGGAATCATTAAAGTTATAATTTCATTACAATATTTCGATACGCTTTCAATCTATCTTAAAATACAACCTTGAAGCTATATAACTGTGCTTACAAGAGAACATTATTAAAAAATAAGTCACAGTATTTGTACTCATGGTGTCGGAATACCGCCGTCAGCAAATCTTTTTTTAGTAAAATATAGTTAATACTGAAAAACCAATATCATATATGTATTTCTTCTGCATTTTCATGTGACTGAATAAAAAAATTAAGAATTTTCATAGACATTAAAATGAAATAAAATAATTAATGCTGAAATATAATCGTTTCTATTAATATACAATTAATGAATATAGAATAAATATAAGATAAAAAAGAATCGAAGATAAGACATCAAAAAGTTTTTCTCTTCAATTAATGAATTTTATTTCTTACATATCATGAATCCAATTAGGATTTGTTTATTCTGAATCTAGGTTTGTTTTCAAAAGTTTATTTTTGGAATAAATCAAAAATAGCATATGGAATCTAGTACGAGAGAAAATAATGATCGATAAGTTACCTCCTAAATTAGATACTATCATAACTCATTACCTTTAATTAAAGTTCTAAAGGAACCAATCTTCTTTTAATCATCTTTATTTCAATTTTATTTGAACCTATTTAATACAACTCAATACAGCTTTGTTAATGATATTTAGTGGATGTAATCGTTATACTATACTGTCCCCATCACTTTATAATATGGCCGGTTTTTTTCTCAAATTATTGAACTATCTTTGTTTTGTCACACATGCGCATCGAGACAAAGACAGTATATGGAAAAGAAGGTAGTTTGTTTTTTAATTCAGCTTGAGAATAAAGTGTATGCCGCTCTCTTTTTTACATGCTTTAATGATAAGAGCTAAAAATTTCACGGCCACTCTTTATTTTATTTCAAAATTCCTGGACGACCCTGAAGTTTTTTTTTTTCAAAATTTCCTTTTTTTGGATACGAATATTTTTATAAATAAATCATCTAAATAAACAAATCTCTAAATTGAGTAAATATTTATATCAAAATCTACACATACACTCGAAAACATTAATGTCTGGTTTGTATCTTATATGCAATTACCGTCTGCAGGAATTATTTGTATCCATATTGAGTTTCTAATCTCGAATTTTTTAAGTTCAGGCCGAATTTATATTGTATATGACTACAAAGTATTCCTGCGTTCAGTAATCACACTTATGGTATAAAAAAGGCATTAATCAAATCGAGTGGCAGGTACAGTACTGCTACTAATACTTGTCATATCGACTAAAAACAAATCTTCGAGAACGCAGAGTTTTCGGGAAAAACGGTCTGTATTCACCGGTTACTGTGAGTACTCGTACGGAGTTCGTACTCGGACGACTCTTGGGCATTATCAGATGATGTTAACCAACAGACAACTCGTTAAATCAGCTAATTTGGTACGTGTGTACTAGCAGAGAGCTCACGCCGTCGAACTCTCTAGTGGAAACCCAGACAACTCGTCAGAATATTCCTCAGAAATGGAATAACTCACCAGTTAATCATCTATAGTGATGATTATGACCTCATCAGGCAGTCTACCTCTCAGAAGACATCATCAGTAAGCTCATGTTGGTCCGCATCAGCACCTTCTTACAAAAGGCGTGAACGATGTCGGCTTCGACGCCTTACGGCCTTATGGATAGACACACACACAAGATCCACACACGAACAACTCGCTTGTGTCTGTGTGGCTGACGCCAACACAATAAAACTCAGACTACTCAAGAAAATTAGACTACTCCTGGTGCAGAGACCAGTACAGGAAAACTTTCCTGTGATCCTCTACTCATCAGTCACCTCATCAGTGAACTCTCTAAGTGATATTTCAGTGAACTCAATATTGTACAGACAATTCAAAGACTCTCGTATTGTTATTTTTCCGTTACTGTTATTTTAGTATTTAATAAATCGCTAATTGTTACTGTTAAATAGTGTCAGCCAACTCATTTACACCGTTCAACAGTCCCGACTGTTCTAGCATCCAAACATCCTAAAAAATACAGTCCACAAATTCCCGACTTCTCACTCAGCCGACTCAAAGTCAGAACAGTGCTAAATTAAAAAAACTAAATATAATGGTCTAGCATGTAAAATAATTCTCTCTATCATATTTAAACTGCTATCTTTATTTTGAGACATAAAAAATAAATAATCAATTTTTTTTTTGAGAATTTTTGATGATAGTCGTTATTTGTAACGGACCTTTATACTCTTATAAAAATGAAAAAAAATTACTTTTTATCCTAAAACATTATAATTGAAATAAAATTACGACTTTTATAGTTTTTTCGATTTAGCCTAAACTTGAAGAATATAAGATTGAAAACTTAATGAATGTAAATCATATCCACCGTCGATAATTGCTCATAAGATACAAACCAGGCATTAATACTCTCGAGTGTACGTATGGTTCTCTAGATTCTGTCATCATAGAAAGTTTACTGGTATGATGATGTGATTTAAAATCACAAAGAAACTCAGAATCGTAGAATAAAGAGGGTTCCTTTCATTTTATGCTTTATTAACACTCTTAGGATTTTATACATAAATAGGTATTTACTTTCAATATTTGTTTTTCTTAGCTGTAGACCTAACTTTTACATTAATATCTATCTAACTAATGCCTATAATTATGTTGCAGGTACCTAGGAGAGTCAATCTTGAGAAACTTTTATTATGCCTGTACCAGAGAATAGGGAAGTCTACACATCTCTATTCTCTGCCTGTACGTTTTTTGACCAGGCAGCATAGAAGATTGTAGATAGTTATGTGTATTGAAACATTTCAATCCCAAATTTGATTGATCCGCCATCTGGCGACTACGGCTGTCGCCTGAAATTTCCCATCTGAATCTGGCCTCTGAACTTACCACCAGTAGTTTTAACAAAATCGAAAACATACGCTAAGTCGTATTTACACTACTCAGTCCTTGAGTTACTATATCACACTTGCTTTGTTTTAGAAAACTCACTCTCAATATGGCTGACGATTCAATACGTGCATTTTGGCGTCACTTAACAAGATTATTCTTAATTAGTAATAGTTGCATATTAGGCGCTCTCAGAATACTCCTCAACGGTCAACTCGAGCAAGTGGCCATTTGCTCGAAGGAAATTTCTCGTCAGTTGATAGCACTATGGACTTAACCTTGATCTCGTTAGATGGGTAATACTAAGTAGAAATTGTTTGATATCTCTGCATGCATTCAGCTGACCATCTCTTCTGAAAGTGTTGGAGCTTTTGTTGAAGTAACTGCCATCTAAAAAGTCTCGACTCAGGAGACTCTAGTAGTGAAGGCTCAGGCAAAGCATTTAGTGGCTCTTTGATAAAAATATAACCGGGTGTAAGCTCTTTCAAGTCAGATGGATCTTCAGATGGTGAGCTAATGGTCTAGTAGCCGTATGAATTTATCGTGCATTAATTATAGAATAGGAATGAAAATTTTTTGGTTATATATTCTTGTAGAGAATGATGAGGAAAGTATTTGTGTAACTCGGAAACAATAATCAAAATTGTTAATCGAGTGTCAAAGTTTGGCAAATTGCGTTTTTCCACCTTTCACCGCTTACGTAGTGAGAACGGTGAGAGATTGTTACGTGCTGACTTATTATTCTGGGTTTAATGAAAATTTTCAGATTAAGGAGAGTTTAAAAACAAAACTCATGACAGGGTTAACTTAAAATAAGTTCTCTAAAATGAAAGAAAAATAAAAAAACCAATGTCATTGGAGTAAATGAAAGTGAACGTTTATTGGAAATTCCGGGGAACCACTAAAATCACTTTAAAGTTCTATATCTCTCTTCGTGCTGGTGGAGTGGGGGTTGGTGGATCATCCTTAAAAATCGAGTCCAACTGTAATGGTTCTTTGTAATGGCCCTTGATTATCCGGCGCATTTGCACCCTCCAGCCCGCTCTTATTCCTCGCCTCTTTGATTTAGGCATGAAGGAACCACATCACTAAAGCACTTTACAATAGTTTCATAATTTAGCACAAAAGCTATTTACTCAGAAAAAAAAATCAGGAAAACCCAAAACTCTCTAACCTTTTGGTAAACACCAACCAAACGCCATCCTAAAGGACAATTTCCAGGGGAGTGTGAAAAACAAGGTATGACTGCACGCGTTATATAAAACTGCGCCTCAGGGAAAAAGGAAAATAAAAAATGGAAAAAAAGGAAGAAAATGACAATTCCATATGCGTGAGCACAATCCAAGTCAAATAAAAAAAAGGGATGAATTTAATTTGAATTATAAAGGTTTATTTTAATAAGTGTTATTCCCGACTGACAAATTTTTCTCAAGGAGTGAGCGGTTCACTCGTCAAGATTCCTCGAGAGACTGAGGATGATCACGTGGTATCAGGCGTTTTGATCCTCCGACAAAATATCCCTGACATAATATGCTCAGATAAAATATCCCGGAGACAAAATATCCTCGACAAAATATCCTTGTTTTAAAATATTTAAATTTATTGTCACATAAACGTAGAATTGGCCCTAAATAAGTGTAGAATACCCAATCCCGTGTATTAAGGGCTGAAGCAATTTTTTATTAAGCAAAAAAACGTAGGATTGTCTTTATATAAATGTAGGATATCCCGTGTTCTGAGGTCTAAAACATTTTTTAATTAAAAACAACAACAGATGTTATAAAATGTTATGAGTTGATTGTTGCGACAGATTTTTATGACGCACATAGTGAAGAACTTGATGAGTTATTGCAATACTTCGAAGATACTTGGATTGGCAGAACTTGTCATAATCAGAAAAAGCGTCACAAGCCTCGATTTGAGGTGTCTATGTGGAATTGTCATCGGGCCGTAATTAATGATTATTTGCGAACAAATA